GCAGCGCATGCACGGCACGGTGAAGTGGTTCCGTATAGCTGTCCAGCTGGGAGACCGAAGCATAAGAAGTCGGTTGAGCTGGGCGTGTATCGACTGCTTTGTCGTCTGTTGCTAACATGGAGAGTCAATTTTACCAGCGTGATACCAGCAACCAATAGTTTGCTAAGATCTGACCAGGTAGCGATGCTGGTCTTATCTTAAAACGATATGGCAAGTCCGTTATCACCTGTTTCTCCATGAGTGAGCTCTATGGGATGGTTGTAATGATCAAAGCAATACCACAGCTAAGCAAAAGACGGAGATGATGCGGATGTACTAGCTCGTGGATGGCCAGGTTACCATGGCGTCACACCAATGATGTGCACTCAACCGTTCCAGAAGACTTCTTGTATCCTGGATCTAGGTCTCTCGGCATTCATAGCGCACAACAAAAATCGTGCACCGGTCAGTGACGGATGAGCACGCAACCTCTTGTCCGGACCTCGCGCCGTTGAGCTCGGATTCCGGGAACGGTAGCACGCTCGGTAGTGAATTACAGCAAGCGCGTGCGATGGGTTTTGCCTCCTCCGACATCAGGTGGCGGTGCCAGTGTATGCCGCCTGGAGTCGGACGGATATGGAGCGGCTGGGCTCGCAGGACTGCGGTGCGCTGCGCTGCTACATCTGTTTCTCCGAGCCGCGCTCAGCCTGACGAGGGCTGGATCGACCCCTTCCCGGCCCCGTCCTGCCTCGCGCTGAGGTGGGCCCAGAGCCGGCAGTGGTGCAGACCGACGGTCGATACACGCAGCTCGGAAGTTCACGTGCTACCAACCGATACTTGTTATACATTTGTGGGGCCCTCACAAAGGCCGTGCATTGTACATGTTCTGCTGCCAGTTGGTCACCAAGGCAACCATCGAGCCCAACGATATTTGTTAACCGGCTTTGGAAGCTGCTATTTGATTGAAGTGACAGCTCACAGTGTAAACTAAGATCGCCACGGATAAGTGCTGTGCTCGTATTGTTTCCTTGTCGGTGTGATCGATTCTCCTTTGTTTGCTGCCCGACAACGGGACCTGCAAAGAGCAGAGCCAAACCCAGACGGAACGCTGGCCTCATGCATAGCCTCGGAGCTCTCTGGCGCCCCCTGCGATGCTAGCGAAATGCTCACTGACGTGGGAGTGACTGCAGCGGTCGTGGTGATAGATGACTTAAATGCCACGTAGAGCTGACAACCGTGATGTTCGCCTGCAAACTTATGCTAGCCTGCGTTACCCGCTTTCGTAAATAGTGATAGCGGAATGTCCCGTCAAGTTCCGTGTTCCGTGATGGCATGCACGTGCCCTGCTCCGGAGTCACATCTGATCCGTCACATCAGCACACCGTGACTTTGTTTGACGCGTCACCCTGATCCATGACAAACCAACCTTGACACTACTTGTATATCACTTCTAATCTGTCACTCAGCGATGCAACAGAGTCTGTGGGACGAGAGGGGCTCCTCCGGCTTTAACCCACCCGAAAGTTGTAGCATATGCCAAGTCGACTATATATATATATATATATTATATATATATATATATAATATACATAGATATATTATATATTATACAATGTTTTTTTATGTGTCGGGATATATAGGTCATACATAATATATGTCAGGGACCGATATGTCCCACCAGCTCCCGGGCAGTCTTATAACTGGGCCTTTTGTTCATGCTCCATTCTTCTCAGCATGTTTCCTGTAGGAACTTAGTGCTGTGATTTGCCAGCGCCAGTTCCAATGGTGTACAATCGGGCTATTGTTGTCAGGGTCGGTGCCTGTTTTCTTTGTGCGTACGTGTGCAGCCAAGATTCTAAACGTGGGGAGCACGTCAAGGTCATGTTGGGCACACATTTCCATTGAGACATCAGAAGTCTTGAGCATGGCTGCACAACGCGGGATATCAGCCGTTCGGCATTGAGGTCATCCATAAATTACTTTTCGCATTTAGGGGAGGGTTTGGAGTAGTGAGTCTGTGATGTAGGGGTAACGAAACCAGTAACAAGAAGGGGAGCGTTTGGACAGCATAGCGTCACGCTCAGGTAAGGCTACTAATCAAATACATGTAAACACAATTGAACTCTCAAAATCGGATACCGTGGTTTGGCTTCCTGACGACGAGAAGTAGCGTCCGACTTGACTACCTGATGAGAAATGCGGCCGTCATTTTTGTTCGCATCTCTAGCTCAATGGAGGGGCCAAACGGACATAACTTTTTGCGTCGTTACGTGTAACGCAGCGTAACCAGGGTTGTTTGTTTATACTTCTATACTTCGCCAAACGTTCTGGGGACGTGATGGGCAAGACTGCGTGCCGTGAGGCCTATCTGAATAATTCAGCTCTTCACGGAAGGGAGTGTGCCCCGGACGCGTGCGTATGCTGCCAACAATCTCAGCAGCCGTGTCGCACACAGCGGTGTTTGTCAGGATTTCGCCAAGGAGAGAGCCACCTTGGGTCAATTGGTACACGCCTAGCCAGGTAGCCCTTCTGGTGGTCGCTGGGGCCCCTGTTGCTGGATTCGGGGGGCTTTTCAGGCTGTGGTCCTATTTCAACGACTGGGAGCCTGTTTTATGCTTTAGAAGGCCTTCGAGCGACTTGAACTGTCAAAAAGGTACCAGGGCCTCCGGCTGTAGGTCGCCTTCTCCCCCTTGAGAAGGGGGGGGGAGGGAAGGACATGGCCTCAACCTCTCACCCTTGCGTAGGCCACGCAGCAGGGCATACATGACGTGCCGTTTGGTACGCAGCTATTTTTAATAAAAAATTGGCGTGTTGCAAAGAGGACCATTTTCAGCGGTGACAGCGCGGAGATGTCGACCTACTCCCACCTACTTGCCGATATCGGGGTGCGCCTGTGCGATGGTGTAAGGGCGTGTGCGTCGCACGGCGCAGTGCGAACATTCCATTTACCACTTACGTAGACTTCCAATGTCCACGAGATCCATCTGTTCAAAAAATAGGTGTTTTTGTTAGCTTCACAAATTTGTGAGAAAGGCAGATATGTTGGGTTGACTTCGATCGCAGTGAACTTCACTTCAGGAGTATATAGTTTTTGTCGTCTGTTCTTCCTCGGCTGAGGACAGAATACATTGACTTTCGGCTGGTTTTGAACAAATCTGGCGTTGGTCGGCAGCCCGGCCAAATACGGGCTCGCTGTGAGACAGGCAACTGTAAGCTCGCGCAGTATGTGTCCACAGCGCAGTCGGCTACACCACGCGGTTGGTTGGCGTCGCGTCTTTATTTGCTTTGATCGCCGATGCCTGACAACAGCCGTCAAGAAGTGCCCGGACCCCCGGGGATGTATGGCTTGCCCTCGAGTGACGTGGCTCATCCCACGCTCTGCCGAGGCGATAGATTGTCCTCTACATCCAAACACGGTGCTGCTCTCCCACCACTGCACCTCCAGGCTATTGAGATATGGGCACGCTCTCGCTCCCATGTTGGCGGCTTCCCGCACTTGGCAGATTCGTGATCTTGCCGGTGGTAATGGACTGTGGATGTTGCATTGTGGTGCGGCGGCACTGAAATTTCCAGGAAAAGCACGACTATCCAGACAGCTTAAGCGTTAATACTTCGAAGCTATTACAACACAACTTTCAAAGAATTGTCTCACCTGTTGCTGTGTAATGCTTCGCGGTGCCACTAATTTGCCCGCATTTGACAGATTTGTGGTATGTGAGGGGTTCACAAAATGATTTGTGGTCTGTAAGGGTTTCACAGAAAGATGTGTGGTATGGGGGTTTTGCAGAAAGATTTGTTGTCTGTGAAGGGTTCACAGAAAGGTGTATGGTCTGAGAGTTCCACAGAATATGTGTGGTCTGCGAGTGGTTCACAGAAAGATTTGTGGTGTGTGAGGGGTCCACAGAAAGCCGCCGGACCACTTCATCTTACGCCTCTCGACCTCCATTATTTGTGTGAGGCGCTCAGCAGTCTCCAATTTTGAAAGCGCCTTGGTCATGGGAGGTCAATGAGCCCATGTACGTCCCCGTCGAGCCCCATAGGCAGTTGTTTGTGTGTGCATGTTTACATTTTATGTTATCACTTCGACACCGATCGTCCACGTATAGCTGATATTGAATTGAGCTGGAGGGTACCGTTTGAAATTAAGCACGATTTGACGGCTCCTTTATCGAAGATAGGTACTGTTATGTTCAAAGTATCTAACGCTGTTGGAATCCTATTTTAAAGCATTGTGTATGTGCTCCCATTGTGTAACTATATTCACACACTGTGGAAAAGTCCAAGACATAAATAACGTCTGATCCCCCTCCCGAGTAAACAAGAGAACTTTGATGCAATGCCTCCAAAACGCTAAATGCTTTTCGTATGGGCTGCTTCCACACCTGTTTGGACTTCTCAAAGGCGGTTCCGAATTCCATGATAATTCGGATTTTACAAAAATGGCGTCCAAACCGAGCACGCTGTCGAAGACATCTTCAATTGAAGCCCTCAGTGAATCCACAGAGCGGGATGAACTTTACTGACATGACGGTATTGAGCACCTTCGTGCAATATGTGGCATGCGTGGCTAGCTTAACGCGAACCATTTGGAGCCGGATCTGGTTTGAGCGGAGCTCGCGGTGGTGAGCTCGCCACGGCGAATGTTACTGAGCGGGCGGTACGCCACGGGGCGTGTCACGGCCTTATGTTGAGCTGAGTAAGGCATGGCTCTACTGCTGTTACCAGGTCATGTTTTAAAGGTGTTACAGTTTGTTTTTAATTTGTGATGTTATAGCATATGATGGATAGTATATTACATATTATAAATATAATACTATATTACAAATCAGGAAGACCCAGCCCATGGACTGGGTTCTGCACTGTTCGCCGTTACCTGACGCCCTTCTCATGTTTGACATTTGTGCTCTGATCCGTCACTGTCCTGCGTGCCTCTGCCATGTGGCGTCTGTCGCCTGGCCTGTACTCAGCGACCGAAGCCCGCTGACCTGTGGCCTGACCAGTGCCTTGTGTGTACGTTACAGGCCAGTTCTTCGGGGGCGGCACGTGCCGGCCGTGCCACCACACGTGCGTCGCCTGCAGCGGCCCCATGTCGGTGGAGTGCAGCCGCTGCCAGCCGGCCACCTATCTGCACAACGTGAGCTCCAGGCCGCGGCCGGCACCACGCCGCCGACCGGGGCCGCTGGGGACGCGTACCCCCGCCGCTGACAGGCCTGACTGAACCCCGCGCTGGGATTGCTCTGGCTCCGGCGCGCCACCGTCGACCGACTCAAACACGCCACACGTGCGCGCGGGTGGCGTGTCCTAGTTTTTTAGTTGTCACTATTAATTTAACTAGCCTTTACTGTCCCTTGTAATTCTACTAGCTTTTACTCTTGCTGTTGTTCTTACTAGTTTTTAGCTGTTTCTTCTTTTTATTCATTATTGACTACACACGCTCCGGCTGAGCTTCGTCCGTTCATGGCACAAAACCCCGCGGCTTCTCCGGGTTCCCAGCCTGGCACCAGCTCTCTGGGTTCCCAGCCCGTCACTAAACCCGTCGTCGTGGGGCCTCACGGTCACCCGCGGAGAGCCCCAGGCTCGTGGTCGAGCTCTGCTCCTCCCCGTATGGACCCGACTCTTCCCACTCTGAGCAGCTGACCGGGCTGTCGCTGCACTCCCGGGAGCCCCAGGCTCGTGGTCGGGCTCTGCCCCTCCCCGTATGGACCCGACCCTTCCCACTCTTGAGCAGTTGATCGGGCCGTCGCTGCATCCCGGACGGTGGCGAGAGCCGGCGGCTGTTCCACGCGGCGGCTCTGCTCTGGCCCCTTCCAACTCGGACCATGGGATCGCCGCAGCGTGGCAATACATCAGAGCATTTACTTAAACGCAGGATCAGCGGCGCAACTTTATATCTTGAGCGAGCCGTGGCCAGCGTGTTATATCACGCTACCGCGGCCGGGCTGCGGCGGCAAACTTGGCGGTGGGCATGCGATGCCTTGATCCTGCTGGCTGTCTGACCCGAGCGCGACTGTTTGTGGATGCATCGGCTGACGACACGGCGCGGCTGCGTGGCTCGTGACACACAGCGAAGCGCCGTGGTCAAATGGAGTTTCGTACCTACGTCCGGCCGATAAGCGCGCTGCGACGGTAGGTGGGCTGCACTGCGGACAACTTTCGCCATTGCGTAGCCATTCAGATCGGGGTCTTTAAACTCTATCGCCATCGGGCCATCGGCGCACCGGCCCGATGCTTTTAGCGGGTGCTTTGTGGCGATGCGCCTCCTGAGAGCCGGCGGGTCGGTGCGCCGGCCGCTGTGCCGCGTGTTGCGACCCTCAGGTCGACCCGGTATTGATCTCCACTTACACCCCCAGCCGCGAACACTGGATGTCGATTACCACGCGCTGTGTGGGAGCGCAGGTGCGGATGGGGGTTGGCTCGCCGCGCGGCGGGGTCGGTCGGCTATTCACGCTTACGTGGGGAATCACCGGGTCATCCAGACGCTGCTAGCGCCGTGGACCCCCCACAGACTCGGCGGCCGCGGGGTGATCTCTGCTCAACACTGGCGCGAGGCCTCGCCGCTCAGGCCCGGCCGAGGTGACACGCCGACCGGCCGCGGGCAGCGCCAGCGTGTCGATCCTGGCCGCTGTCATGGCGTCCGGCCGCCCACGTCCGTCCGTCCGGTGCCGCCGCTGCCGGCAGCGCCCCACTCGCCCGTCGCACCGGCGCGCCGCCGCCATGATAAATGCATGCGGTTTTGCCCCCACCTCGGCTCCGGTCTATGAATTCTGTATCATACAATTAGCCCATGGCATGGAGACCGGCCTCGACTTACTATAATTGAGCGTGGCCCTGTCGTTCTGTCGGCCGGCCGCCATCCGCGCCGCGCTGAAATGACGAAACGTACAATTTGTCGGGAGTTGGGTAGGGTGCATCGGCGATGGAAACACGAGTGGCGGGGTGCCGACAAGTGTTGGGATCTGGAGTGAACGCGCACGTGCACTTCCATGAACGTGCTGATGTTTTACGCATGTTTGAGAAGCTAGTTTTGATTGTGTGAACGTTGAAATGACGCGTTCTGTTATCAAGGTGAGATTTTACTGACTTTTTCTTGGTTTTGTGCCGGACGGCAAACCATGCACAGTCTGTGCAACGAGTGAGACCGGCTGAAATGTACTGCATTGCAGGTCATGGCGTGGGTAATGCCCCAGAAACTTCCTTCTTGTCACTCAGTTTCCGCCCGTTTGCTACCACTCGTCCGTTGCGGTAGTTCCCTCTCCGTCCGTTTGTTCTACCCTTCTTGAGCCGTCGTTCCACCTCCGATCGTTGGTTTCCACTCGTCCGTAGCCATCGCTCCGTTTCTGTCCGTTCGTTTCCACTCGTCCGAATCCATCGCTCCGTTTCCGTCCGTTCGTTTCTTATCGACGCTCCATCCTATAGCAGTCTGCCACTGTGCGTGCTTCGGACCACATCTGTAATTTGATTTGCATGCCATATGGTGTGATACATTGCTGCTGATTGCGGCGTTGATGATTTCGCGCTTCCCAAATTGGGCTGGATTGTGGGTTAATAGCGATGTGAATGTCTAGGCCGGTGCTGACCTTCAATAACTAGGAGCGGACGGTAACGAACCACCAGAATAGACTATGGCAAGCTGGCCCATCCCAGCAGATGGGATTTGTGTAAATTTAGTTGTCAATGAGGCTGACTGTGGTGACCAAATTATTGGTTCGAGTTAGCTCGAGTGAGCTCGCTCTACAGCTCATCGGGCTTGCAAAATCTCCGAGAATGTTAACAAGACAGCCTCTCGTCGCAAACTGGTACCCGTTCTGCACGTTGCATGTTACAGTTATGATGGGGCGTTGTTGGATCGGCGCGTAGCTCGTGATTTTTGGCGGAGCTCGGACATCGCCAGCGTGCCAGCTGCGACATACTCACCACAGTGGCATCGCTAGCCATATCAGTGGCGAGGGTCGACGGGCCATGACCCATTGGCAGGCATTGGATGAACGTAATGTAGAACGAATTTATCCCTCGCTCCGATTCGCGCTTTTGCATAACGTGCACTGGTATGGGAAGTGGGCAGTGCGCGCCCCTCGTCCATGCTGTTTCCAAACTAAAATAGAGTCTCGCAAAAAGTTCACAGTGGATGATCTTAACGAGATCTAGTGATTGTTTAAAGCATATCTTGCTGGGTCATTAATGGACCCCTTTGTACACAGTCAAAGGTCAATTTGTCCTGAAAATTGCGCTGTTCCATCTTGCCACTATTTTGTCAATAGTTACAAAAATACGGCTGGTAGTAGTATAGCATGCATACAGACATGTTCCATGTTGAACTCTGAGCTCATTGATGTGTGGTTTTGTGTGTTTTGAGCATATTTTCATGATGCAGGACCCTGCTTATGTGAACGCGTCAGTCCGCCGCGGTCGGCGTATTCGTTGGCTGCCGCCCGCCGCCATTGATCTCGGTGCAATGGTCCTAAGAACCGTCACTTCTTGGAAACCAGGAATGCTGGAGACACATTTTTGGTGCCAAGACACACGGAATGAATGTCTCATAGGCCACCACAAATTTGGGCGTGATCACACCACATGGCGAAGAGCTATCCTCAGAAAACCTTAGAGGCAAGCGACCGCCCTCATCATGGCGAGGTTTGAAGTTTTGAAGAACATATGCTCATTTTTAGGTTACCCTGTTGTTTCTTTGACATGGCGTGGTTTTAGCGCGGTTCACCAGTTCCTCTCACGAGCACCTCGTCCGTGTGTCTGTTTCGTTGTCAGATCCTGTAACCACGTGGCCGCGGGATGGTTCACGACACGCCACCGACGTCAGGCATGCGTTTGTTCCGTTGTCAGGTCCGTGACCACGTGGCCGCGGATGGTTCACGACACGCCACCGACGTCAGGCATGCGTTTGTTCCGTTGTCAGGTCCGTGACCACTTGGCCGCGGGATGGTTCACGACACGCCACCGACGTCAGACATGCGTTTGTTCCGTTGTCAGGTCCGTGACCGCGTGGCTGCGGATGGTTCACGACACGCCAACTGTATCAGGCTTGTCGGGGGACTTTGCGACACCGCCCGAGCCCAAGGGCCAGATGGTATTGCATGCTAGAATGTCGCTTGTATGCCGATACCGAGTACAAACCCAGGGCGGCCCCAGATGCCGTGCTTGGGAAAGCAGACGCGCGATTCGTTATGGCCAGCTTTCTTGAAGTTTCGCACATCTCTTCGCCTAAATGTATCACTGTAGGTATCAGAGAATTTCACTGAAGCTGGTGGATTGGGTTTCTTCAGCCCTCAATGCGTCATCCCCAGCTCTTAAAGAAATTTCACCGCAAAATTTAGATCACGGTAAGAATTCTTACAAGGCCCATAAAACAGTGGTCCGTCAGAGCCGTCGCGAGCGGCCATTGGTGCGTGCCGACCGTCGCCAGTCCGGCCTAGGACCGACAACGTGCCTCGGCAGCCGCTCGGTGACCCCCTTCGTCTGGCGTCCAGGACGAGGTCAGCCAGGCCACTACTCTCGTGCGTATGGCAGCCCGTATGACTGTGATATTGTCCCCACATGTCCCTGATAGCGTGCCACATGTCGCCAACGGGGGGCAATGGAGGCACGGGTTCGTGCTTTGGTCGCGGGGACGTTCTCAGATCCAGAATTGTGGCAGCGAAGTAGCGTGGTGCAGTTCAGAAGACGGACTGCCTGCGTCAGAATATGCGTCTTTAGCCAAAGGACCAGACGTTGTGTAATGCTCTCCACACATATTGCATTTCCCTTATCGGTCAACATTTGTGATAAACCTGATCTACATGTTCTGTACGACCTATGGTGGCCCATTTGCGGTCCCATTTCCGGCCTGCGTGCACTCTGTTTGGGGACTTCCGGGGTTGATTATGAATTAATTCTGCCCCAGTCTTGCTCGCCCCCCCCCCTCCCCCTCCCCCTGCGCGTGGGGTCTGTGTTACGGGTACTAGTACTACCAGGAAGATCATTGCCAGCTGCGATTTCCGTCTCACACCGCCGCCTGTGCAGGGCCTGTATTACCGGGACTGTCGGGAGAGGGCCGTGGCTCCTCCCGTCCCCGTCTCACACCGCCGTCTGTGCAGGGCCTGTGTTACCGGGACTGTCCGGAGGGCTTCTCTGCGGTGGCTGGCGTCTGTCAGCCGTGCCTGCACACCTGCCAGGATTGCCGCTCGCAGGAGAGCTGCAGCTCGTGCCGGCCTGGCCTGCTCATGAACAACGGCACCTGCGTGGCCGCCTGTCCCCAAAGGTCAGTCGCCGTCGCCGCACCCCGCCTGTGTCACCAGGCCGTTCGAGTCGTCTTATGGAACGAGGACGGCGAGATGATAGGTAGCCGATCAAGATGTGCCATGGGGGCCACCCAACGGCCGGGTGGGAAACAAACTGCGTATATTGATACGGACGCACGGCATGCACATGGACAGGAAACGTGGAGGTCCTCTCCTCGTAGTTCCTTCCTTCCGTTGCAACACTCGCCGTCATGGCGCGTTCTCACCCTTTCTGTCCGGTGTCTGCTCCTCCCCGGTACCCCTCCTGCCCTGGCGACTGTTCCTCCCCGGTCCCGCTCCTCCTGCTTTGGTCCTGCCCCTCCTCCGCAGTCCCGCCCCTCCTGCATCGATGCCTGCTCCACTGTGTAACCCCCTCCCCCTGTCCCTGTCTGTCTGCGTTTCCCGCTCTTCCTTCACGGTCCCGGATCTCCTGCCTCGGTGCCGTCTCCTCTGCGGTACCCCTCCTGTCCCGGTGTCTCTCTCCTGTTTTGGTACCTGCCCCTCCCCCAGTGCCGCCGCCCGCTCTCCCGGCGCCCGCCCCTCGGCGGTGGAGCCCGCCCGCCCTCCCGGCGCTCGCCGCGCGGCGGTGGAGCCCGTCCGTGACGGCCGGCCCGGACGGCGTTGACAGTGTGACTGGCGAGCTGACGCCGTCGGCTAATGGCCGGGCCGGCAGCGGCGCTAATGCCAGCCGAGGCTGCCGCCGGTGGCCCGCTTTATCACGGGCTCTCTAAAAAGGCTCGGCGCTGCCGGCGGCCGGCGCCGCACCGCCACCCCGCCAACAGCCGGTGTTGCAGCGGCCTCCCCGCCAACAGCCGGTGTCGGAGCGGCCGCCCCGCCAACAGCCGGTGTTGTAGCGGCCTCCCCGCCAACAGCCGGTGTTGGAGCGGCCTCCCGCCAACAACCGGTGTTGGAGCGGCCTCCCCTCCAACAACCGGTGTTGGAGCGGCCTCCCCTCCAACAGCTGGTGTCGGGGCGGCCAACAGCCGGTGTTGGAGCGGCCGCCCCGCCTACAGCCGGTGTCGGAGCGGCCGCCGGCCGAGCGGCGAATGGCGCGAGTGCTGGACGTGGCCTGACCGGACGGTGAAAGGCACCACCCCATTGAGAGGTGAATGGGAGCGGGCTGGTGCCGGCAACCATTGCGGATGTACCGTCGGCGGGGGACGGCAGTAACCCGGTCGACGGCGCCGTGCCTCCCGACGGGTCATCGTTGCCCGCAACGGTGACACTGCGGGGTATGCTGGGAAGGGGGGGGGGGGGGTCAGAGCGCTCTGCCGGGTTCCAGCACAAATAGCAGTATGCGTGTGACGTGTTCGGGAAGTCGACTGGAAAACCCGTACATGAAGGGTTTGTTTTGCTGTACTGGAGGTATGTATTTATTCTAAGTGCTTCTAAGTGCCGGTGGCTGGTTATCCAGCGAGCGCTTATTGATATGTTCTGTTTTGGAAACGTTAATGTCATTCTCAGGAAACTAGCTGCTTGCCTATTTATCTCGTGATTTCGGTTTCACGTGTATCCATGACAAGCAGCAGATTGCTTGCTTACGTATGATTCACCACAAGTATCCGTCTGTTATGTTGACTCAAGCAATTTGAGTGTGCAGTAGCACATCATTCATGTATGCGGCACGAGACGTCCGCATATGACGTATCTCATCTATTATGTATTGCCAGGAAAGCGTAGTTGGCCTGTGATGACACACTCTAAGGAGATTAGGGTCTACCGTCTTTGGCATTGACTGCATAAAGCTCAGTGTATAGCATGTTCATTACCATACTGGAATCAGTAGGGTGCGTGGAATGGCGACGATACCGCATATTGAAGGGCAAACTCGCCATGTGCGCCAGCGCCCACGCCTTGATTATGACGCAAGCGATGGAATGTGAACACTACTTCTCCGAAAAGGTCTTGGTGCGCCCTTCAGAGGGCGCTGAAGTGCCTGGTCGGCTGCCAGTCTCCATTCCGGGGTGGTGTGGCGGAAAGGCCAGCGGCGCTCCAGGCGATGCCGTGGCCCACTAGCTCGCCGGTTACGAGATCAAAACCGAGGCCTGCGCCCTCCTGGCGATAAACCGGTGTTATACTGCCTCGGCTCCGGCTGGCCAAGGGTTTGAAACGCCAGTGGAACACGCCTGCGAAGTTCCCAGCGAGCTTTGATGCTGGCACCGCTATCTGCAGCAAAGCCGGGTGGTTAGCTGGGCCGTAAAGCCGGCCTGCTGGCGCTGCCATTTACCCGCCGCTCGCACCCCGGGCCTGGTCCGCAACAGGGGCTGGCGGTGCGGCCGGGCCGCCGGGCCCCAGCGGTCAGCGGGTACCGAGGCGAGTGACACCTGCCGCTGCCGTTGTCAGCCTCCATCGTCCGATCCCGCGCCGCCAGCTGACCGTGCTCCGTGCCCGGCCATGGTCCGCCAACTGACCCGACCAGTGCTAGGCAGCCAATCTTGTGAAAGCCGTCCCTCTGTGGTGCTGTGAGTACAGGTGTGGGAACAAATGGCCCGGGGCACTTCCCGCTCCCCCGCCCACACTCTGGTATTGTCCTGTCCTTGGAGTCTGGCTGGTCGCCCGTTCCGTCGCTCGCTCTCCTGTTCGCTGTCCCTGAGCGCGTTCTGTCCGTTGACTCGGAACCCCACCCACTCCCGGGGGTCGGGCGTCGTGCTGAGACATGATGGAGGCGTTCGTGCTGGTAGTTTTCCCGTTATTCAGATGGTCAGTTCAGCCAGCGCAGCGACACACCATGCTGTAATTCGTGCCTGGCTGTGCGCCGCGTCTCACGCCCCTCTCAATCGCCGGGAGCTGGGCCGGTTGTAATCACCCTCTTCCGTGCATCTTCAAACGCCTCTCTGCCAGTCGGCAGAGCCATCGAATCATTCGGGCATAAGTCAGGCTTAAAATGCGTTGGTCGTTATCACGGGTCGATGGACGTTGAAGGATGTGTTTCTCACTACCGCCCATTAAGCGGGGCATATTTCATCCTACTGATTGCTTTTAAGTCATTATTTCAGCTTTACGCCGTCAAACGAGGAGTCTATCTCACCTTCTCACGAAAATGTCAGTCACGATCCATACGGTGGGACGGTCTAATTTGTGTGCCGGGCGCTGCGTGTCCATCACGCGGGCTGGCTGACAAAGTGCCACCTAACGAGGTGTGGGCCAGCCGTCGCGGAGCCGCCGGGCCCCGTGGCGTGCCACACGGCCATCGCTGCCGGCACCGGCGCCCCCACCCCTCCCCGTCGACAGGCAGCGACGCCGGCTTCTTTTGCAGAGAATGACAGGCGACTGTGGTCCGATGCGGTCCGCCGTGTGGTATGATGAGCTGTCACGCATCTCCAACTCGCCGGCACTGTCGCGACATGCACTGTCGTCCTTGCAACGGTGGGGTTGGGGGGGGGGGGGGACGCCAGTGCGTGAGCTTAATGACAGACAGCAGAATACCATTTTTGATTGGCTTCATATTGATCCTCGTCTGTTATGAGACATTGGCAAGACTTACGAGAAGGCGTTCTATATCCGTGCGTACTTTAAGGGAAGTGATATCTGCGTATGCTGTATGGATACTTTCATCCCAAATGAGCGAAGCCGTGGCAAATGGAACACATAAAGACAATGTTGCTTTGCGTCGTTGCCATCCGGGATAGAGTGATTTTTATGTCGCCAGGCAACACGCCCATACAGGGGTGTGGGAACATTTCAAAAAGTGGATGGGTTAAACCAGGCCCTTGTCGCTCAATGCATTGTGTATCTTTTGAATGGAGGACGGCTGACACCGGGGTCCCCCCTCAGCGCCCCACCCGCTGTCGCCGTTTGCATTTTCATTTAAGGCCGAGGCACTGTGATAATCTGACGCTGTTGAATCTGATGCAGTTTTACGCGCGTTATCTCGTGCAGCTCTTCCCTGGGGTCCACCATTTCTAAGTTTCCAAGATAGCCAGGTACGTGTGAGGCCACCGGATCGGCGGTGGCGAGGAGCACGCCCGACATGCGTGAGCAGTACTAGGCGTGGTTGTTCGGCGTATCACTGAAAGTGTTTGACTAGATGATGCATGAAAATGGCATTGCTTTACGCATATGCAAACCAAACAGAAAGCATTGATCGAAAATCTGTCGAAATCGGTGTCTGGCACGGAGCCCCCTCTCGCTCCACCGATGTTGTCCACGTGCTTTTTGTTGTCAACGTTCGTTGTCAACGTTCAGTCGGCCCACAAAATATTTATTTATTCACTTTCCTCCCCCCCCCGTACTCCGTTTCCTTGACCTCGTTGCCTCGCTTCCATACATGACCCAATGACTGTGTGCGACTGACCTCATAGCATCAGATGGCCTCGATGACCTGACGGGTAATGCGTCTGCTGGTCTGTTCGTCCAAGGACTCGATGACTTGTTGACTTTGGTTGGAAAGCTCTCGACTGGAGTTATTGTGAGCTGAAACATCGCCCGTGAAAGGTCAACGCCCTTGCTAGCTTTGCTGGGTTACGTTGATGAAGGGAACGTGTCGCTTACGGCACTTACATAATGCGTAGGTGTGCTGGAAGTAGTGTGCCACTATGCCAAGGGTTCTTTGGCTGGGAAGAGCACAAGACCGTGTGGATCGGTCATGTCAATGGACTGTTAACACCTAACAGGAAATTTGTGCCGACCACATTGTGATGGTATTTTACCAAACTTACCCGGTCTTGAATCGATTGTTCCTGATGTTTATCGCCGTGGGTTGATCTTCCAACTCCTGGAGAAACGCGGTTGTGCTGTTGGCTGGCTCGGCTCGTTCGTCCTCCGCCGTCAGTCCGCTCTCACGTGGGACCGGCTCAGGACCGCCCCCCCCCAGGAGCTTGCTGTGCGCCTTGGCTCGGCTCGCCCGTCCTCCGCAGTCAGTCCGCTCACATGGGACCTGCTCAGGACGCCCCAGGAGCAGCTGTGGCTGGCTCGGGCTTCGCCGTCCCCGCCGTCAGTCCGCTCACACTGGGAGCGACTCAGGGACGCCCCAGGAGCTGCT